GAGAGTAGTAGTAGTAGTAGTAGTAGTAGTAGTAGTAGTAGTAGTAGTAGTAGTAGTAGTAGTAGTAGTAGTAGTAGTAGTAGTAGTAGTAGTAGTAGTAGTAGTAGTAGTAGTAGTAGTAGTAGTAGTAGTAGTAGTAAAGAGAGAGAGAGAGAGAGAGAGAGAGAGAGAGAGAGAGAGAGAGAGAGAGAGAGAGAGAGAGAGAGAGAGAGAGAGAGAGAGAGAGAGAGAGAGAGAGAGAGAGAGAGAGAGAGAGAGAGAGAGAGAGAGAGAGAGAGAGAGAGAGAGAGAGAGAGAGAGGAGAGAGAGAGATAGAGACGGCTTTAGTTTGCGCGCGCGCGCGCGTGCGTGCGTGCGTGCGTGCGTGCGTGCGTGCGTGCGGCGATGCCGCTGCATTAGGCTGAGACAAAGCGAGCGAGCTGTCATCCAGCGTTAGCTTGATGCATTTACCAGCGAGATGGGATTTTTTTATTTGCACCGAGAAGCCAAACGTGATTCAACACCGTGGTCAACTACCGCCATCCCTGTCGGCGCCCACCCTCAGACGCCCACCATCCCCTTATATATAAATATATATGAATATATATATATATATATATAACGTCTTATTATTTATATCTTTATTTGGGATATATGATCATAGACGTGGATAATAACTTAGACTACGTAATTGACAAATGTTTTTTTATTCATCAATATTTTTGCTACATATTAATTTTATTTTTTATTCGAATTATTTTTTTCTACGCATGTAAATACAGTGGCCATCGCCACGTGAACCGATTTATATACCCTAACCCCCAACATCCCTATGATGACCCCTACCCCGATTCCAACATCCCTGCCGGCGCCCCCGAAAGCGGCCGACACACTATCCATCTAACACGGCAGGCGACAATTAAGCAGATATCGCATGACGGAAGCTGCCGCTAATGCCATTACGGACGAGATTTCTAATTAGAGAGTAATTACCATTGTCTCAGTGACGCGTCCCCCGGCGGGCCGCACAATATTGGCAACGAGATCAATTATCTCTCGCGCGTGAGAACGAGAGCGGCAGGATGACACTATACGTAAATGATGATTCCCTATATTATATATGTGTGTGTGTGTGTGTGTGTGTGTGTGTGTGTGTGTGTGTGTGTGTGCGTGAGTGTGCGTGTGTGGTGTGTGTGTGTGTGCGCGCGCGTGTGTGTGTGCGCGAGTGTGCGTGTGCGTGTAGGTGTGTGTGTGCGTGCGCGCGCGTGTGTGTGTGTGTGTCTGTATGTACATGTGATGCCTTTATTTACCTGAGGATTACGAAGCTTGGAAAATTTGGGTATCAGGTAGAACTTTATGCCGTCGATGGCGCCCTCTAGCGTCGCTCCTCTGATAAGCAGAATGACGAGTACGAGGTACGGGAACGTGGCAGTGAAGTACACGACCTACGATTGGTTAAAATTCGTGAATTATGGCCAATCACGGACGTTAACGCGGGTGACGTAGAACACGTTTTCTCCTATCGGGTTAGATCACCTGACCGACTGAGACAATTCAGTCAATTCTTCAGAAAAGCAAAGATATTCCATGTCTTTCTTGAAAAACAGAATGTGCAATGCTAAACCCAGGTTTCTGTCTAACCAACCTGAGTGTTCGAATTAAAAACGCGTTTCCAAGATGGTAGCAAATTAGTTTAGCTACGTAATTTTTATTATCTATCGTCGTTCTAATGCTAATCTATTCATTTGTTACATCTGGAAAAATAAAGATGGCGTCGCCTGGTTCACCTTTCCGGAACTCTTGATCCCACGGCACAGACATGCGCAGACAAGAATCCAGGCGAGCAACAAACACAAGACCATCTCCCAATCGAGCCCGTGCATGCCGGTGAGTCCCGGATTTTCCGGGTCAATCTTCATCACTCGAAAGCTGCACGAAAGGTCAGAGGTTACAGGTCACAATCACGTAGCGATTCAGAAATTCAGAGATAAAATCATTCTAAATCATCACAAAATACGTTGTTATAATTCCGCACGGCGGCAGCACTTGTTCATGAGGGGTGAAAGGAAGTTTTGTATATCTATGAGAATTATTGGCTCCAAATTGCTACCTGGGAAGGGCGTGAGAGAAGGAACGAGAAAGAGCTGGCGACGCACACACACACACAGAGTGGAGGGAGAAGTGGGGGAGAGCGAGCGAGTGAAGGAGAGAAGGAGAGAGAAATACAATACAGTGAGAGAGACAGAGAAACAAAAAAGAGAGAGAGAGAGAGACGCACACACACACACACACGCACATCACGCACGCAGCGCCACAGCACAATCACGCAGCCTACGCCGCCGAGCAGACGAGTGGACAGAGATAGAGAAGAGCAAGAACGAGGGAGAGCGAGGGAGCGCGCAAGAGAAAGCGTAGAGACCAGACCGACGAGAGAACGAGCGAAGCAGAAGACGAGAAGGAGAGAGGAATCACACCACACACACCACACACCACACACAACACACACACACACACACACACACCTAGCGAGTGAAGGAGACACGGAGAAAGAGACGGAGAAAAAGGTAGTCTTCTCCACCGATCCGCTGAGATACGCCACCTCGAAGCCCCTACTCCTCGCTGGTGAAGCCCGCGCTCCACCCCGCTGCAGCCATGTTGAATCTTCAGGCCATGTGCCTAGCATGTAGCAGACCTTGCGACCGAACTAACGCCCCTCTGAACCATTCGCAGCTCCTCGCCCGTCAGTCATAAGCAATCATTATGGCGCGAGACCCGAAAGAGACAACAGAAAGAGAGAAAAGAGAGAGAAAAGAGAGAATTTATACGGATTTACTTAAGGGCATAATATTAATTGATTGGTGCCTTAACGTAACGCATCCATCGACACACCACACCACACTATCATATGAGCTTCTCACGCAAACCGCGCGCACACACACACACCACACACACACACAACGCACACAGCCGCCACACACAATCCACACACAACATGAACAGCACGCTCCCCCCCCCACACACCATGCACACACCCACACACACACACACTCACGCGCCACCACACACACACACATCACACACACACATCACGCACACGGCACACAGCACACATCACACCACCAGCGCACACACACACACAACACACACACACACACACGACAGCGCTCCCACATCACACAGCATCAACCAGCATCACACGGCACCGCACAACGCACTACGCCACACGCACGCTGCACACACACCTACGTTAACAGCAAACATCGATTACACGTACTCTTGTATTCCACTCGTGTCGCAGTAGACCACGACATCTCGCTCTAAGGAGGTCGACAGATAGTAGAGAATCCAGCGCTGATGAGAAGATTGTACGTAAATAACCGACATGAACGACAACAGACGAACCTATTGCGATCCTATACCATGCACCGAGAGAGATGATAGACATATAACAATATATACACACACCACACACACACAGCACACACCACACACACACACACCACACGCAACACTCACACACAACACGACACACACACCATGTGCAACACACACACACACAATCCAGCACACGCACACTCCAACACACACACACAACACACACACACACACACACACCCACACACACACACACACACACCACCACACACACACAGGCAGCCACATCACCAACACACACACCGGTCACGCAACACCACACGCGCACTTCTCCCTCACGCAACGCACGCACCACGCACGCACACACACAACACACACACACACACACATATATATATATAAATATATACATATTATATATATATACTCACATGCACATATATAAATATATAAATTATACTAATATTATATATAATATATTATCATACACCCATGCACATAACTATATCAATAATAATACACCATGCACCATATATATATATAATTATATATATATACCCATGCACATATACATACTATTATATTAATTCACATCACCATATATAATATATATATATATATACTAACAGTCATTGCACATATATATACATGTAACTGCTATATACTATATACTACTATAATATACTACTATATCACTCGTAGACATGTATCTACATCTACTAACACATGCTGACTGCTCTCGATAAACAGCAAAGACCGTGTGTGGGCGGACACCTCTAATGAACGGCCGCCTGTCTATAAAGGACAAAATCCCATGCTTCCATAGAGTGACCGTTAATACACATCAGTTGGAGTGGAACCGAACCTGAGAAGATGGACTGATCACTCCCCACAATTGCTGACGACCTTTCACTCTTGAACCTCCCCGCACGCGACAGTTTCCAGAAGAATATTCGGCATTCCGACGAACGCCAAGCATGATGATGAGGGAAGAAGACGTCCTGCGGCAGGAAAGAAAATATACATAATAATAAATAATAATAATAATAACAATAATAATTAATAATAACATAATAAAATAAATAATCATAAATAATAATAAAATAAAAATAATATATATTAGATTATTATTATTATTATAAGAATTATTTAATAAGAATCAAAACTATAATCATTAATACGTATCACTCCTGATGTACTGAAAAGAATCCGCCCCCCCCCCCTACTCATGATACTCATGACACCGAATACCCGCTAAAAAACACTAAAATGTAACATTCATAATAAAACTTCAAATAAACGCTCACTCTCCCCTCTCTCTCACTCCTCTCTCTCTCTTCTCCTATACTCTCTATACTATAATATATATATTACTAAATAATAACATATATATATATACACATATATATATTGATATATAATAAATTATTAATATATATACTATACTAAATATTAATTAACTAGACAAAACAAGAAAAACTCATAAGAAAAAAATAAAAAAAACATGCTAAAAAAATAGAAAATCAAATTACAAAAAAACACCCTACCGTCAACATTGAGATCTATATAATTGCCTGATAATGACTACACAACTCACGCCCGTTCCTTGCGCAAACTGTAAAGGGAACCTGGCCAGACGTTACCCAGGCCAACGCAATATCCCAGAACAGGAGAGCAGAAGTCAGCTTCCCTGACCAGTTTCCTCTCTCCTTGTTCTCATCTTCGCCGTATAACCGCTAGCGGTCGCTACTGGAACGCTAAGGATCTCCAACTACGTTAGGATTCTGTTTAAACAGTCGGAAAATCGAAAAAAGATCGATTTGATGAGCTGTTTTTTATTAATTTCCCTTCTCTCTCTCTCTCCTCTTCTCTCTCTCTCTCTATATATATATATTGATTTCTCATTTCTCCCTCTCTCCCTCTCTCTCATCTCGCTCTTCCCTCTTCTCAGGGGGGGGGGCTGTTCTCTCTTCGCTCTCTCTACCCCTTCTCCTCCTGTCTGTCATCGGCTCTCGCTCGTCTCTCTTCTCGCTCTCAGCCTCTCGTCTGTTCTCTCTCTCATCTCCTCTCTCAATCGTCTCATCCTCGATCTCTCATCATCTCTCTCTGTCTGTCCTCTCGTCGTCTTTCCTCTCTCTCCTGTCTCTCTCTCCCTCTCTCCCTCCTCGCTCTCTCTCTCTCCTCTCTCCCTCTCCCTCTCGTCTGCCTCCTTCTCTTTATCTCTCTCGTCTGTTCCCTCTCTCATCTTCTCTCTCTCGTCGGTGTCTCTGCTCCTTCTCTTTGTCTCTCTCTCTCTCTTCTCTCTCTCGCTCCTCCGTCATTCTTGTTTCTTCTCTCTCTCTCTTCCCTCTCTCCTACCTCTCTCATGTCCCTCGTGTCTCTCGTCTCTTCTCTCCATCCGTCTTTTCTCAGTCTTGTCCTGTCCCGCTCCTCTGCCGATCTCCTCCCGCTTTCTTCTCGCGCCGCTTCTATCCGTATCCCCTCTATCGGTCTTCTTCTCCTTCCTCTTCCGTCAACCGCACGCGGAAAAACCTACATCATACTGGCGGAGCTCGAGGGAAGCTCCCACGTATGAACGGGTGCCTTCCCCATGCATCTCTCTCCCTCTCTCTCTCCGTCTCTCCTCTCCTCTCTTCTTCCTCCTCTCTTTCTTTGTCCTCCCTCTCGTCCTCGTCTCTCTGTCTTCTCCTTCTCGCTTCCTCCTCACTCTTCCCTCTGGTCCTACCTCTTTCCCTCTTCTTCGTCTCTCCTCTTCCTTCTCCTCTCCCCTCTGTGCTCCTCATCTTGCCTCCTCTTCTCATTTCTTCTTCTCTCTCCCTCTGTCTTCTCCTCTCCTACTTCCTTCTCCTCCTCTGCTGCTGCTATCCCCGTCATACACTACGCCGCCTATACGTCTCTTGGGACTACTGCAGTTTGTTCTCCCTAACACGCTCCCGATCCGACCCACACACGGGTTACAACAGATCACCCACACACGCGAGGGCACCACAACTATGAGGCCCAAGAAGGCGGCAGGCCGGCGCAGCACATGTACTACACCAAGTGTCTCTTCCCTTCACAGCATAGTATACGCCTGCGTCTGTGCGACAAGTTCCAGTGCCACTCCCGAAAACGAAATATCAACGATTCTTACAAACACATCAATAAATCACTCAATATAATATATATATTAATTATATATATATGTAATATAGTTACTATATTCGCGCGAAAATGCAGATAAAATCAAACGTATTCGAAGAGACGCGTCGTCTGCATAGCTAAGCGACGAAGCTCACGACCCGGTAGCCCTAGCCTTGTATGTAAAAGCTAGTAGAAGAGAGGTGAAGAGAAGAAAGAGGAGAGAAGAGAGAGAGAGAGAAAGAAAGAGAGGCTTACTCTGCGCACTGTGTAAAGCGCACAGAGTTTGTCAGCACAGGAATGTTAAAGCTGCCGCTATTTACGACTGCAATGGGCGGTTCATTTTGTAAATTGCAATTAGCTATTGTATTCGGGCGCCGGTGCGTAGGTGCTGGCGTTAATGTCTGTTTGTTCGCCATAGTTGTCGCAAATCGCAGTGACCCCTGTGTGTGTGCGTTGGGAAGGGGCGTGGTGAGTGTTGTGTGTTGTGTGTGTGTGTTGGTTGTGTGTGTGTGTGTCTTGTGTGTTGGGTGTTTTGTGTGTGAGTGGTCGTGTTGTGCTCGGCGTTGCGTTCTCGCGTGTGCGTTCTTTGGTGTGGTGTTTTGTGTTTGTGCGTGCGGCTGCGGCGCGCGCCGGTTTTCGCGCTGCACGCGTGTGTCGTGTGTGGTGTTGTGTGTGTGTGTGTTTGTGTGTGTGAGTGTGATGCTGTAGGATCGTCGAATTCGCATTTAGAAAGGCTGGGTGCTACCTGGTGTGAGAGGCCGTATTGGTGCAAGTAGAAGTAAATATCAAGTAGACAGTGAAGTATCAAGTAGAAGTGATTCACTTCTTCTTCTTCGTCGTCGTGTTTATTTTGTTCGCATTCTCTCGTCTTATTCTTCATGTTGTTGTTGTTCTTCTGTTTTTCTTTTCTTCTTCTTCGTTTTCATCTCTTTTTTCTTCTTTTCTCTTCTTTCTTCTCATTCTTTTTCTTCTGCTCTTTCGGTCCTTCTTCACTTATCATCCATCATCATCATCATCATTATCATCATCATCATCAATCATCACATCACTATCATCATCATCATCATCATATCCCATCATCATCAATCCATCATCATCATCACATCAAATTATCATCAAGCAATCATTATAATCAACCAAGCATCTATCAATCATACAATCGTCTTTCTTTCTCTACCTCACCTGCTTTTTTCTTTTTTTCTTTTTTCTT